AACATTTTAATTTCCATATCTTTTTAAAGCTATCTACTAAATTAATTATTGCAAGATCTAGTTTTTGATTTTGACTAATTAATAGATTGATCATCAATTTATATTTATTATTAATTTAATTTAAAAATAAATGGGGCTCTGGAGGTGATGCTTTTGACATAACTTCATTAAATGATTCTCTTGGTGTGGTAATGGATATGGAAATTTTGGTGATGGAGGCGGATTTGATTTTGATGGAGATTAATCTTTTACCCCATCAAACCACACTTTTTGTTATCTTGATTTTTCTTTGACAAATAATATTTTATTATTTTTATTTACTTTTATTGTTATTTTTATATTGTTAATATTAAAAAAATAAATTTTGACTAGAATGAATAGTTTGATTTAAAAAAAAAGCAAATATTAAAAAACAATACTTGGATTTAAACAACTCTTTGAGCTAAACTAACAATCTTCCCCCATTTTTTATCTCTCAATTCAGCACCAATAACACCAAGTATTCTTGTTCCTAATGGTTCACCACGATTATTTATAAGTACACAGGCATTATCATCAAATCTTATATAACGACCATCAGGTCTTCTTGTTTCCTTTCTTGTCCGAACAATAAGAGCTTTACGTACTTCACCCTTACGAATCATCAATTTTCCTGCTGGAGTGTTTGCAGCAGCAGCACTTGCTGCTGTCTGAGAAGTTACCTGTGGAATGGGACGGGCTCTTTTAATCACCACTGTAATTGGATCTCCTGATTTTTATTCTTTTAACCATTAATAATTTTTTTTTTTGATAAATAAATAATTTTTCAAATAAAAATTATAATTCATTTTATAAATATATATACCAACCAATGCGACCATATCTTCCACCATGAGCTACTCTGATACATTCTGCAAGAAGAGCACCTGAATTATCTATTACATTTAACACTGTTTTAAGTTGAATCATGTTTTATTAAAAAAAGTTTTTTTTTGCAAAGTAGATCATAAAATAATTTTTGGTATTTTTGATGATTAAGATTACAAAAAATAGTACTGTACATTGGCGCATCCAAATTACCAAAAAGGTATACATGGTGTAATGTCCAATTGCCAACAGTGGATACTAAAATGTAAACGTGATAATTGCGAATGTCAATCAAAATCAAACTTCTAAAAAAAACTTCTTTTTTATATTTTTATACTTTTATCATCATTATTTTACGATTTATTAATTCATTAATTATTACAAGGATTGAATGGAATTTATCAACTACAACTATTTTGCTGTTCAGATGATGTCAACAGGCAAGAAGCATTGATTGATTTCCCAAATCTTTGTCTGATTAAAGTCAACAAAACGAATGTTGATGCTGTAATTATCATCACATTAGATCTCATGAAATTAAGTAGGAACATATATATCAATTGATTTTTCATTTATTTGTCTTTATTTTTTTATTTATATTTTTAGAACTTAAGAGGTTTAAAGAATAGACCTGGGACAGTTCATTCTCAAGATATAATGGAGCTCTGCAAAAAAGATTCATCATGCAAAAATAAGATCGAATTTTATTATGAAAATACTTCAAAAGTAAAATCATATTTTTATTTGTTAAAAATAAAATTTTATTTCATTATTAACATTTAATTATTGTTATATCATCATTTTTAGGATTATATACTTATGTTATATTTAATGAAAAAGGTAACAATAGAAGAGATTGTTAATAGAATTAAAAACGGAATGTATATCTCAAAAGAAATTGTTTGAGAGAAAAGTAAGAAATTTAACTTTATATTTAAAAAAGTATTTATACATATGACACATTTATAAATATAATTCAAAAGAAGGGACTTCTAATTTAATATGTCATGTTTGTAGTAGCTCAACAAGTAATCAAAGAAATATCACATCTTTTTTAACAAAGAAAATAATTCCTACAAAAGTCAAAGAAGATCCAACAAAAAAAATAGTTAATTTTGTTTGTAAAGATTTATGTCCATTTGAAACAATTGTGGGTTTAGGGTTTCAAGAATTGGCACAAGAATTTATTAAGATTGGATCAATTTATGGAAATGTATCCATTGAAGAATTACTTCCACATCCAACCACTATTTCCAGAAACACATTAAAGGAGGCAGAGTTAGTTAAATCAGCTTTGGCAGAAAGTTTATTGGAATTTTTTTGAATTTCTGGTGGAGCTTTTACCACAGATTGTTGGACAGATAATTATAGGAAGATTAGTTATATTTCTTTGACAGTGCACTTCATTGATAATTGGGATTTAAAAGAATATGTACTTGCTGTATCTAAATTTCCAGAAATTAGCCATACATCAGATATTATGGAGAACTATTTTTTCATTATTAAGAGGGTATAATCTTCAACCTGAAAGTAATATAAAAGATATGCTTTTGTAACAGATTTTGGTGTAAACTTTGTGGCAGTTTTTCGAAATTATAGGCATTTATCATGTATAGCTCACAGGTATGTATTATTTTATTTATTTAAATTATAAATTAAAAGAAAATAGACAATTTGTTATGACAATATTAGATATATTATTTGTTTTAATTCTAATGTAATTGTTTCATTGATATGGGCCATAATAAAAAAAAAATTTACTATTTAAATTAATGTTTTGTTAATTTACTTATTAATAATTTATATTTATTTATATTTATATAGAATTAACACTGTTTTAGTTGCCTCCTTCAAAGAAAACAATTTCCAAGAATTTCCTCTGTAATTATTACAATAAATAAATGTAAATCATTAGTTAAATATTTCAAAAAGAGCACTTTATTATCACAACTCAACAAAACATTGAAACAACACACTGATACACATTGGAACAGTAAGTTAGAAATGCTTGAATCTGTCTCCAGTCAATTTGAAGATATTTATAATCTTCTTTTGGATCGAGATGAGCTGGAAAGAATCGAAGGAATTGATGTATAGTGCAAGACACCTAGCCCCACAACTTTTCATTGTCCTTGTAGATCCTTCTCTAACTCCAAAAATGGAAATGTAACACCAAAAAAATAAGCCGT